ATTATCAGCTGAAGTAAACAGTAATAAGGAAAACATTAAGGCTGTGAAAAAAACAATGGAGCACATAAAGATTAATATAAAAGATGATAAAAATGCGCTCATCTTAAAAGAAAAGGAATTAGAGGAAGTTGGAGGACTTTTTCAGAATTTGAAAGAAATGTGCCAAAAAGACACCGAAGCAGTATTAGAAGCACAAGAAAAGTATCAGAAAATCAGTGCAGGTTTATTGGAGAGTGAAGATGGTAAAAATGCAACCTTAGAACAACAATTAATAAATGCCAAGCAAAGTGCAACACAAGCACAAACCGAACTTAAACAATGTGAGATGACACTAAATCACAACAGGCAACAGTTGAATAAAAATCAAAAAGACATGCATAATACTGAGAATGAATATAAAAAATATCACGTGGACTTGGAAAAGAAAGAAAAAGAATTAAAGTGTTTGGAGAATGAATTACAAAAATTGAATTATAAGGATGGTTATTCAGAAGATTTAATAAATCAAAAAACTAAATTGATCGAAGAAATGAAACCGTTGCGTGAGAAACTAGATCAGTTTGAGATGAGACATCCTCGAACGAGGTTCCAGTATCAGAATCCTGAATCTAATTTTAATGCAAAATCTGTAAAAGGTATCGTATGTAAATTAATTGATTTAAAGGATAAAAGGGCTGCATATGCCTTGGAAGTTGCTGCAGGTGGAAAGGTATAACATTTTCTAAAATTATGTTTTTTTATGAATGTAATCTTCTTTATTTCATGAATATAATTATGTTTCAGCTTTATAATGTAGTAGTTGACACTGAAACAACAAGCAAAAAACTTCTCCAACATGGACAATTACAACAACGAGTTACGATTATTCCACTCAATCGAGTGGCTGGTAAATTTATAGATCAATCAACGATTAATTTGGCAGAAAGATTGGTTGGAAAAGAGAATGTTCAACCCGCTTTGTCTCTTATAGATTTTCCAAATGAAATTAGGCCAGCAATGACCTGGATATTTGGTCAAATATTTGTATGCAAAGATATGGAAACTGCCAAGAAAATAGCTTTCCATGAAAGTATTATGAAAAAGTGCGTTACTTTGGAAGGTGATCTTTTTGATCCAGTTGGTACGTTATCTGGCGGTGCTCCAGCGAAAGCTGGATCAGTTTTATTAAAACTGGAAGAATTGAAAGCGATTAGGAATGAACTAAATCACAAAGAAAAACTCTTAAGAGACGTAGAAAGTGCTTTATCAAATGTTGCAAAATCTGCAGAAAAATATGCATCTTTGAAACAAAAATACGATCTATTAACTTATGAAATCAGTATGATACAACAGAGATTACAACAAACAAGTTATCATAAAATCAAGGAAGAGGTATACACATACACGTAATCTGTAAACATTTTATGTGTATATATATATATATATATA